ATATATATATATATATATATATACGCAAACATATATAATATATATATTTTTAAATATGTACCAGCTTTAGTAAATAAAATAATTTATGTAAGTTTCAATAATGAGCTTTTGGACAAAACGACGAAAGATTCTGAAACAATTGATGATGTTAACAATGATAAACTAAAAAATGATTTGATGCAGTGAGCAGTTATGTTTGCTATAACCGATAAAGCATTAGCATGTTTTTTAATAATTTTTGGGTAAAATGTTTCCTGAATTGCCAAAGGATCCACGCGCTCTACGTCAAAGTTTTTTGAACCTGTTACCAATATAACTGGAGGACAGTATTATCATATTGGCATTAGACAAGGTATTTTAAGTAATATTTTAAGTTTTTTAAAGAAAAAGGATTGTAATTCAATTTAAGTTAACATTAATGATTAACCAATGTTTAAAAGCAGCATTGGACAATTTTGGCCAATATTAGGTTTAATAAAAAATGTGGATAAACAATATTTAACACAATAAAACTCCATTTATAATCGGTCTTTTATATAGTAGGTCTAAACAAAAAGACCGTAATGAATTTCTAAAAATGTTTGTAAATAAAAGTATTGCTTTATTTGATTCTGGTATTAGTATTAATGGTAAAGTATATAAGTTTGCTATATCAGCTTTTATTTGTGGTGCACCAGCTAGATCATTTATAAACGGAAATAAAGGACATAAAGCCCATTATTAAATGTTATGCAATAATTAATAGCATTAATTTAATATCTATTTTTTTTTAATTATTAAAAAAATATTCTTCAGTATATATATTGCTGATGCTTTTTCTATGTTTTTTGTAGATAATAGCTGTGGCAAGTAAAGGACGCCAGACTATAAAGGAGGCTGTCCAGAGAATGTCCTTTGCGTTATTCACTAATAACCTCTGCTTTAAACGTAACTGGTCTTGTATTACCAGAAATGACAATAAAAGTAACTTTGTAAAAAGTTACTTTCGAAGTCTAATAGACTTATACTTGTTTAAAAGTAATAATGTAATAATTACTTGTGTGTAAATTAGTAATTACTAATCTATTTGTTAATAAATAGTTGATAAAGAAAAAAAATTTATTTATTAACTATATATAAATAAAAAATTAATAGATAAATAAAGTTTGTTAAAAAAAATTCTATTTTTTTCTGAAATTAAATTAAAAAATTCTTTTTTGTTTTCCTGCTAGATAGGTAAATAAAAGTCCTAAATTAATTTGTAGGAGCTGTAAAAAGAAATCCTGCAACAACTTCAGCAACTGATTTAGATTTTCAATATGAGGTTGTGCGTTTTTTGCATGGTGCATCAGACCGCAATGGCGGAAAAAAAGTTAGACAAGACCAAAAAATCAATCAAGCCAAGAAAAAAGTGATGTCTACATCAAGTTTTCCAATGCCATTAAATAAAGAGGCATTTTTTAGTTCAGAAAATGAATAACATTGTTAAAAAAAATAAGCATCTTTATTCACAAATTTGTTATCTTTATTTTACAATATTTAATATATTTTTAAATATTTTAAGTTTTAAACTCTATAGAGTAAAGTTTTTGTGCAATGAGTATTACTGTTTCCATGTTTTTCATATTAATTCCCTTTTACAGTAACCACTTGTAAATGCGATTGTAGATGAGAATTAAAATCGTGATATTGAATCTTACCAGAGATTAAAGTAAGAACAATTTTATTATTTTGATATTATTTGTTTTAAAGTGTTTTTGAAAAAAATCCAAAATATAATTTCTTGAAATTTTCATTTTACAAGATATTATTTTAAAGGATTCCTTTAACAATTCTGTTCAAACATGCTTGTAATTTAATGTTACATTTATGATTTAATATTATTTCTTTATAGGAAACAGTTTACCTCAACCAGAGTTATATTTCATAGAATTATGTTGACGATGATCCAAATATTGCCATGAGTATAAGATAGATGATTGATTTGCAAACTGGATTTAAATCATATTTTCTTTAAACATTTTTTTGCTCTTTATATGCTTACAATAAATTTAATAAAAAAAATTATATACTTATTTACTAAACCATTTTGTTTCAATGAAATATTGGATTTTTTATAATTTTCTAAGAATTTTTATAGTATATTATATTGTGCTATGTTTTTTTTTTTTTGGTATGGTGAAAACTATGTTCTATTTGCAAACTATATTTTAGTTTATCAAAATATTTTTATATTGATGTGTTCTATCTCGGATTCTTTCTTTTTCAGATGTGCACTTGTGTCTTAGGCTTATGCTTTGCAAAAGATTCACCATTGCCTTTAAGTTGCTGTGGGTTTTATGGTTTTACTTCCAACCTGGCATATAAGTATCTAATTTTTAAATACTATTTTATTTGTTAAATTAAAACTAAAATTAAAGATAATTTTTTAAATGAAATAAAAACTTTTTTTTATTTTTTTAAAACCCCTCATACATATTCATCGGATTAGGTATACCAGGGAGGTTACTGTATATGAAGTTTTGTTTTTTTAAAAAGGCACGCAATATGACTTTATTTTTATATAGTTTTTTTTTAAAGTTATTTCCATAGCTTTTCAATTTAGCAATGTTTTTCTTGTTGTTTTGTTTTAAATTTTGCTTAAATAATAAAACTAAATTTATATTTATTCAATGTAGATGTACTTATTCTCTGAAGTTATTTGTCAATAACTGGTGATCAGACTATTTCAAACGAACACGTTTTAAAGAGGTGAGAAGGCTAGTTTATCATCTTTGTTGTAATAGCTCTAAACTTGACTATTTCAATATTTTCATTATATATCATTGCCTGATTTTAGGAAAAAGTTGTAAGTCTGCAGACTGCAATGTAAATCAATTTTCAACACATGGTTTCCTGAATATATTTAGTTTTCGATTGAAATGAGTTTAAACTGAATTTATAGATATGTTGAAAATTAACTCTTTTATATTTTAAACGATCGCTAAAAGCAAGTGAAGCAATAATCTTTAGATGCAAATACACTTTATATTTTGTTTTTAGTATATAAAAAAATTATTGTTACTTTTATGATTATGTTAAAATTGTAAATTGCAATCTTATAATAATTTTTATTATAACTTTTGATTAGTTTTTTTGTTCACCGAGCTTAAGCCTTGCCACGTATGACCTAAAAGTTTACAGTTGGGGTAGTGTTTTTCGGTGAAAGGAGAATTTTAGTATAATAAATTCGTATTTTGTCCATATACCTATGCACAAAGTCAAAAGGTATTTGATGTGTCTTCCAGGCATTGGCAGAATTTGCATTTTTTTATAAGTAAAAATTTGAGCTGAAAGATTTAAAGATTTTTGCTAACTATAAGTGCAATCTGTTTAAACAAAAAAATAAAAATAATTTTATGTATATTAATGCAATCAAAAAGTCAAAACTTATTATAGATCCTATGCCATTCCGCTATGGCTTTATCATCGGTTTGCTGCTGACGGATCATTGTTTAAACGTTGTCGATTTTGCCGCCATAGTTCCGCTGTCGAACCGCCTTCAGTTTTCCGCTAACGGACCGATGTAAATACAATGTGCAAGCTAACGCGGCAACGCAACGGGTGGCCGACGTCGGCACGGCATAAGTGCTGATAGCGGTCCTTTATCGGTCCGCCTGCTTGATGTTTGCTGGGTTTCAGCTCAAATTTTTATTCATGAAAAAATGCAATTCCTGCAAATGCCTGGAAGACACATCAAATACCTTTTGACTTTGTGCGTAGGTATAAAGACAAAATACTAATTTATTATACTAAAATCCTCCTACCACCGAAAAACACTACCCTAACTGTAAATCATTAGGTCATACGTGGCAAGGGTAAGCTCGTTGAACAAAAAAACTAATTAAAAGTTATAATGAAAATCATATTAAAATTGCAATTTAAAATTACATCATGAATATAAAAGTAATAATAATTTTTTTTTAAACTAAAACAAAATATAAAATATATTTGCATCTATAGATTATTGTTTCACTTGCGTTTAGCGAACGTTTAAAATATAAAATAGTTAATTTTCAACATATCTATAAGTCCAGGTTATTCTAGTTTTAATCGAAAACTAAATATATTCAGGAAACCATGTGTTGAAAATTGATTTACGTTGCAGTCTGCAGACTTCTAACTTTCACCTTAAAACAGGCAATGATATATAATAAAAATATTGAAACAGTCAAGTTTAGAGCTAAAACAACAAAGATAATAAACTAACTTTCTCAGCCCTTAAAAACGTGTTCGTTTAATAGTCTGATCACCAGTTATTGACAAATAACTTCAGACACTAAGTGCATCTACATTGAATAAATATAAATTTAGTTTTATTATTTAAGCATAATTTAAAACATAAAAACAACAAAAACATTGCTTAAATTAAAAAGCCATGGAAATAACTATAAAAAAAAAGCTATATAAAAATAAAGTCATATTGCGTGCCTTTTTTAAAAATAAAACATTATATACCTACCTGGTATATCTAATCTTATAAATATGCTTGACGGGTTTATAAACAATAAAAAAAATTTGTTATTTCATTAAAAAATTATCTTTAATTTTAATTTTAATTTAACAAATAAAATAGTATTTAAAAATTAGATACTTATATGCCAGGTTGAAAGTAAAACCGTAAAACCCACAGCAACTTAAGGGCAATGGTGAAACTGTTGCAAAGCATAAGCCTAAGACACAAGTGCACATCTGAAAAAGAAAGAATCCGAGACAGAACACATCAATAAAATTATATTTTGATAAACTAAAATAAAGTTTATATTGAACATAGTTTTCACCATACAAAAAAAAACATAGCGCAGTATAATATACTATAAAATTCCTTGAAAAATTTAAAATTAGTCAAATAATTGATTGAAATAAAACGGATTAGTAAATAAGTATATAATTTTTTTTAATAAATTATTTGTAAGCATATAAAGAGCAAATAAATATCTTTAAAGAAAATATGATTTAAATCCAGTTTGCAAATCAAACATCTATCTTATACCTATGGCAATACTTGGATCATGGTCAACATAATTCTATGAAATATAAATCTGGTTGAGGTTATGGGTTTCCTGTAAAGGAATAATATGAAATCATAAATGTAGCATTAAATTACAAGCATGTTTAAACGGAATCGGTAAAGCAATCCTTTAAAATAATGGCTTGTAAAATAAAAATTTTGTTAGATTTTTATTCATCTGCTTCACCGGTTAAACACCAAGTTAATTTAGCTTTCCATCAATAACTTTATATTTTAAGGCTTATAGTTTTATTTAACTTTAATATAATCAAACAAATCAAACAGTAGACAGACTCCAGAACTCATATATATTTTTTTTTTTTTTCAAAATTAACATTAAAACAAAAAAGATCAAAATAATAAAATTAAACTTACTTTACTCTCTGGAAAGATTCAATATCACGATTTAAATATTCATCTACAATCTCATATACAAGAGGTTACTGTAAAAGGGAATTAATATGAAAAACACGGAAACATTGCACAAAAACTTTACTCTATTGAGTTTAAAAAATAAAATATTTAAAAATATATTTAATATTTTTTTTTTTTTTTTTTTTTTTTGTTCTTTTCTTGAATATTCAATATAGTTATACAATAAGATAGTTGAGATAAAAATCGTTATACAATAAAAGAAAATATATACAAAAAAGAAAGAACGCGGAGACTCGCAGAAGACCTTCAGGTCTTATCATCGAGAACCGCTCGTGAATATTAAGTACATTAAATTAACATGAAGTATAAAATCTAAACAATGTCGTATTAAAAATTAGCGAGAACGTAAATTTCGTAATAATATATAAATAAAATTGGAATAAAGAAATTGTTGATACTCTTATATATAAATACAAAAATATTTTAAAAAGTACTGTTTTCACAAACACATAAGTTATGGATCAGATATAATATTTATATATTACCTTATGTAATAAACTTCATATTCATTTTTAAAAGAATTTAAAAATATAAAAAAATGTCTTCAAAAGACAAAACAATTTCTTTTAGTTTTTTCTTGAATGAAAGATAATTCCATTCATGGGAAAAATCAAAATTTTTTAAAACTATTTTGTTCCATAGAAAAGCTCCTCGATATGAAATACATGACTTTCCAAAATTAGTTAAAGATAAAGGTTGCTGAATTTGATTATCATTTCTTAAGTTATATTTATTTTTATCTTTTAAGGTATATAGATTATGAATATTGTAAAATAAAGATAACAAATTTGTAAATAAGGATGCTTATTTTATTTAAGTATGTTATTCATCTTCTGAACTTAAAAATGCCTCTTTATTTAATGGCATTGGAAAACTTGATGGAAGCATCACTTTTTTCTTGGCCTGTTTTTTTTTTTGGTGTTGTCTAACTTTTTGTCTGCCGTTGCGGTCTGATGCACCACGCAAAAAACGCACAACCTCATATTGAAAATCTGATTCAGTTGCTGAAGTCGTTGCAGGATTTCTTTTTACAGCTCCTAAAAATTAATTTAAGACTTTTATTTAACTATCTAGCAAGAAAACATAAAATATATATTTTAACTTAATTTCAGAAACATATAGAATTTTTTTTACAGCTATTTATAGAAAAATTTTATTTATCTATTTAATAACTTTTTATTTGTATATAGATAATAAATAAATTTTACTTATTTATCAACTATTTATTAATAAATAGATTAGTAATTACTAAATTAGACACAAGTAATTGGTAAATTAGAGTAATAAGCCCCTACAAAAAAAAATTACTTTCAAGCAAGTGTAAGTTTTTCAGACTTTGTTTTACAAAGTTACTTTCATTGTCATATCTGGTAATACCAGACCAGTTAAGTTTACAGCAGAGGTTATTAGTGAATTAGATAAAGGACATTCTCCGGACAACCTCTTTAAAAATCCGGCCCCCTTTACTTGCCACAGTTATTATCTACAAAAAACATAGAAAAAGCATCGGTAATATACTTAAGAATATTTTTAAAATAATTTAAAAAAAAATAGTTTCAAATTAAGGCCGTCAAATATTGCATAACATTTATTTTTAGGCTTTATGTCATTTATTTCCGTTTATAAATGATCTAGCTGGTGTACCACAAATAAAAGCTGATATAGCAAACTTATATACTTTACCATTAATACTAATACCAGAATCATATAAAGCCATACTTTCATTAACAAACATTTTTAGAAATTCATTACAGTCTTTTGGTTTAGACCTACTATAAAAAAGACCGATTATAAATAGGGTTTTATTGTGTTGAATATTGTTTATGCACATTTTTTATTAAACTTAATATTGGCCAAAAATGTCCGTAGCTGCTTTTAAACAATGATAAATCATCAATGTTGACTTGAATTAATATGCAATCCTTTTTCTTTAAAAAACTGAAAATATTGTTAAAAAATTCTTGTCTAATGCCAAAATGACAATACTGTCCTCCAGTTATACTGATAACAGGTACAAAAGACTTTGACGTATAGTGCATGGATACTTTTGCAATTCAGGAAACATTTTACCGAAACTTTTTAACAAAGATGCTAATGCTTCATCCGTTATAGCAAACTTAACTGCCCACTGCATCAAATCATTTTTTAGTTCTTCATTGTTAACATCATTAATTGTTTCAGAATCTGATTACTCTAATGGGTAAGATTCAGAATCAGAAATTGTTTGATTACTGTCAGAGTTTACTTCACAATCAATATTATTTGCACCTGAAAAAATAGCACTCTCAGTTGAAAGTTTTTGATCTAATATGCTCTTTAAATTCAATGATTGTACTTTTTCTGGTGAATGTGAAATATTGCTTGATTTATTGGAAAATCTTTTAGGTAATAATCAACATCAGCTAATATCTTTCGTCGTTTTGTCCAAAAGCTCACTATTG